CATGTAGCATCAACACATTTATAACAGGAACGTTCAGCTTTATGTTGCCTAAAGCTTCATATTTTGGAAGGATAATGCAGCATACAGTGCTTTACTTTCACTCCTGTTAGCGTGACCTGCAATCTTGTGGTTCGCTCGACATGTCATTCCACAAGTCATTACGTATGCTCCAACAAACTCTTTAAATAACGCTCGACAGAGGGTATTATGGTAACATGGACAAGCAGATCCTATGCTTGCTCTGTCATTAAGTGGGGTATAAACAGGTCAAACATTTCTTGGATAGCTGCAGGGATTGATCTTGCGGCTAAGATGTTGAAACTCACCGGTGAATTGGTTCATACGTTTGTGCTGCTTTAAACATCCTATTTTGACTTTGGACAGAGTAGGGCTGCGGCACCTTTAAGGGGTCCGAAAGGGACTCCTAAGTGGGTCAGAGTAAAAATATCTTCAACAATTATTCATGGTACCCTGCCTATCTCTACCATACCTCCACCCTCTGGAAAATCTGCATAGCACTGCAATGAGAGGAGAAAAAATGGAGATAAAGAGTCAGGAGAGACAGGAAGGAGAGAGGGTTGGGGTAAAAAGAGCAAAGTGAAAAGTGGGCACATTCTTTACTTATTGTGGCTTGGCTTGCTATGAAACGTGGGTGCAATGTGCAACACACAATGTACAATGTGTGCCGTGCAAACACTTCCTTTGATGATCGATGCAAACATTTTCCGACATTTGCTCTCTTGATGACAGCAAGCCTCCCACCAAACACCAACACTGTACCCACCATTGCAGATGTCTACCAACACTGGCTGAATCAAGCATACACCAAAGAATACTTCATATATCTCATGTAACCTTCTGTGTCTTCTAAGATTAAGCAATGGGTTTGGATTTAGTGGAAATGCCTTTACAAAGCAGACTTTCTAAAGATTGTGAAGATACAGTACACTCTCCTTTGAGTTTAGACATCGCTGGAATTTTGTAGTTTGGGTTGGGCGCTTAAGGTTGAATGAGTGTGAGTGTTTGTGTTAGTGTGAGGGCCTGTGTGAAAGGCATCACTATTGAAGCAATGATTAAAATCAAGGGCTGTGATTGGTTTCGAGGAAAACTAGATTCCAGCGCACAATAAGGGTGTCATGGCTGCCAGGTCCCTGTAGGTCTGCACTATAAATCCACACATTAATCAGAGCCGGCAGGGAGAGATCAAAGGAGTCTGTTCCATCTTTACTCAGAGCAGCACTTTGATGTGTATGTGAGAGAGAGGGGGGAGAGGAGAGAAGGAGTGTGTGTTTGAGAAAGGGGGAGAGTTGGGTTGAAAATTAGGATATGAGAGCCTGGAGAAAAAAAAACCTTCTGTGAGAAAGCTGCTGGGTCTGAATATAAAACATATTAGCAATAATCAGGACTTGGTGTCACTATTAATATATCAAAATGCTCCCATCCCACTGCATCCAAAAGGAAAAACAGCCAAATCAACACAAAACAGTGGCAGTGTTAGGTTGAGATTGCACATTTACAGTATAGGTGCTTGGGAGTATCTGCATGCATGTATTCACATTTGTGCACACATGCATTGTTCCTGTCAAATATGTCAGCTGCACCATATCTTTTGCAATACAAAATGCTTTCCTGCCCCATGGTGGTGCTCTCCTGTCACTGCAATATAAACTCAAGCAAGTGTGCTATGCCACCATTGTATGGCACCTGAGCCTACAGTTGCCATGGCGACCCAGAGCTGCAGCACAGGCTTTAAAAAGCATCATGTATTATTAGTTGGTGTGTTGACACTTTTTCGTTTCTTCCATTCTCTGTGAACCAGAAGCTTTTAGTCCTTAGTCCCACCTGGAAAAAACACATCTGTGTGTACTGGTTTCAAGTGAACACTAGGGGATGTGACTGGAGAGGTGAATCTGTATCTTATTGCCTTCACTGGATACTTCATAAATCATAAAAACTGATGTTGATTTAGTTTGACAATGATTCAGCATGCCTACTAAAACAGACTCAAAGACAATCATTTTTTCTTTATGTCTGCATCTTATAAACAAACTGCGTTTTCATTTTGCCAAAGTTATATCAACCTGATTGTTGTGTCTAATCAAGATGTCCACTTCAGAGAAATCACTAAATGACCAAAGATGTCCTCAGGTAATTCCTAATTGTTTTTATTGACTGATATAACAAAGAATGGGTTGTCCGTTGGCCTATTTTATTTGCCAACTCATGGGCTTTGCTGCCATCTGCTGGACAAATTGTTTTTATATTATCTTGTTGGGGTTTGAGAGAAATTCATCACATGATAACAAGACATATTTGCTGCAGTGCTGCTGTCATTATTGGATAACTGACCAGGCACAGGCTCAGGGGCCCAAGGTGTAAGGGGCCCCTGTCCTTCACATACACAATGTCACAAAAAGAGAAACGTACCAACCAGGGGGAGACTCAAAATGGGCCAAAAACCACACAATGAAAGAGGTCCAAAACAGATACACAAAATGACTCAGAATGTCTATAAAAAGCAACAAAACACCCACACAAAAGGCACAAAATAATTCAAAGACACACAAACCGGTACACATAATGACCTCAGATAGAGACAAAAACCACAGAGCAATGTCACAACTAAAAAGAGACCCATCAACAACAGAAGAGGCTGAACAACAAGAACAGTCACTGTGTATTGCTCCTATGTTTTTCTATTGATCACTCCATATGACTGCATTCATCTTGTGGTGCTTCTCCATTTTGAGGTTCTTATTTTGTATTTTACTGCTGTGTGATTCACTACTAGACTGTATTCAGCACTGGTGAACAAACACAACTACAGATAAATTACAATAAATACATTTAAATGCTTTCAAATAAATTATTTTTGCCTTACAAAAGTTATTAATAATCACAATCAACTATACCAGCCAATGCATTCTCCGTTATGACTACATGTAAATCAGGTCAGGATGTCATGCAAGCTGTCAAAGACGTTCGGAGTACTACACAAAAGTATAGTTGTGTAATATCTGCGCATGCATGGTGTATCAACAGTTCAACACTTCAGGCAACAACTTACCTTTAAATCCTTTTTACAGCTAAAGAATTAAGTCATTAGGAGTTAAATACCCATTAGGGTTTCATTAAGATGTGTCCGTTTCAATGACAGTCTGGTAATCATTCTCTTAATTTGCATACTTGATAACAACTGCATAAGCAAAAACATTGTCAAAACCAGACGACACTCACTAAAATGTCTTTCCGAGATATTTATATAATCAGCACTAGACATAAATATGCGCAATTTTGAATACTAACGTATGTTGATGTGGTTTGGATCAATCAATCAATCAATGTTTATTTATATAGCCCAATATCACAAATGTTACATTTGTCTCAGTGGACTTCACAGTTTGTACAGAATATCAGTATACAAAACAGTATCGATTTACATAATATTATGTTAAATTAACTAGCTGTTAGGTGTTTACATCACACTTTTTGAATATTGCACCATGATTGGCGTTCAAACTAGTTGTGATCAATTGATCCTCAGATTGTTCTATTGGAGGAGCCTGTGACCTAAGATTTTCATTGACATAACTATACTGTAGCTATGTACAAATGACAATAAAAGCCTTGAGTCTTGACTTTAAGTGGGACTACACATAGCCTAAAAAACGACCATCAAGTGGAACACAATTATAAAAAAATAAAAAAAGGGTTAACCTTATTAACTGTTCACCTCAGATCCACAAGGTGGCACTATCATCTAACATTTCCCCCAATATTGCATACAACCTGCAGAGATCTGAGCTAGCAGGGAGACATACAGTTTGTCCCATCAAGCTGTAGATTGTTCAGGTTGATGATCACACATAAAACCTCATTAGATAAGATACAACCTTATTTCACTTTCACACTAAACGTTGCTATGCATAAACTGCTTCAAATATTAAATAAAATCTGATGAAAATCACCTAAAAACATCTGCTGGACAGACATCCAAGTGTAATTCACCCTACTGGACATGAGTAGCAGCCTTACTCTCTCTATTAAGGCTATTACGTAGAAAACCTGCTTCTCAGCCTCAATAGACCTTTAATGCAAATGATATGTAAATATATGAATGACTGATTCTCTAATCTTACGCATATTAAGCGATGTATTTACAAAATAGTAAGTTCAGTCGAGTTTGCTTTACACCCTGTGTCACCTTTGGCATCACTAATGTGCATGTACCAAAGCCTGGGGGAAACCTATAATAGTGTCTCATTAAAATGCATTAATAGGAGCTCATTATGTTTATGAGATATGTCTCAATGAATACAAAGACAACGAAGCTTTTTGTCTAACTGATTTCTGACTGGCCAGAGTGATATGCCACATTACCTGCTAAGGTAGATTGTTTCTGTGCTGAATCTGCTGGCATGCAGGGTGAATGCATTTCCTCCAATAAAAGCTTGTTGATCTGTTCAGAGCAGGCTGGAAAACTACAGCCTGACATCTCACTGCCATCTTGTCCATGTATGACTGTCAGAGTACATGGTGGCACTGACTTTCCAAAGCCAATATTTAAAAAAAAACAGAACCTGGATGTCAAAAAGTCCTTACTTGCTCTCAGTTTCCTGCTCGCCCACATTAACCTGTGTATAATGTAGACAGACATCTTCAAACATCACTATCCACCTGCATGATATACTACCACATAAGGGCTTGCACAGAGCTGTTCATTTTCTAGTAAGAATATAAATTAACTTTGAGTTTAGCAAAATAACCACACAAAAACAGATTGAAATGGGTTGTACAGTGTGGCTGGGCAGCGTGTCAGTTTGTGTTGCAATTATCACATTATGACTGAAATTGGGAGTAGACTCGCGCTCTTCCCGAGTTAATTAAAACGCCCCCCTGATTGGACGGGTGGATAATCCCGACGGGCCTCGTGCTCCTACTAACTTGCGAGCAGGGCAGAGCGCGAGTCACAATCTGCCCAAGGCGAGGGAGGGCACGAAAGAAGCGCGAGAGGAAACCGACCGTACGAGGGGGACACGAGCGCTCCGATCTCACCGAGCACAATTAGAGAAGTGTTGTTGAACGTGGGCTCTGCGCGCAGCGAGGGGGGAGCGCAGAGTACAGAGGAGGTGAAAGCTTGTAGAGCTTCAGATTCACAGCCTCTTTCTTGAAGAGTCACTACACTGACAGAGGAAAGGAGTGAGAAGAGAGAAACTCCTAGAAAACAGCAACTCTTGGAAAGAACTACGTGAGTACAGAATACAGTTTTCAAAACAAGAGTTAGGATAGAGAAACAAGCGGAAGAGTAGACTTTTCCTGGTCAGAAACTGCTCTGGAAGAGAAAATGAATGTCAGCGAAGAGAACCTGCTCAAGTCCATCAGCAACGACGCGCTCCTCGACCTGACGCAGCGCTACGGCCAATCAGCCTTCGGGTTCGGCCCCGGCACAATCGCGGGGAGTCCCGGACGGTTCCCTCTCACACCGGCCACCGACTTCCTCTCCGGGCAGACAACGAAGTCCAACGAGAGCGGCGGAGAGCACACGAGCGACGACGAGGACGGCTTCGATTCGCTTGAGTCGCGGAAGAGAGGCTCGCCATTTGGGGACGATAAGTCCGGGGGGCCCCTCGGCAAAAAGTCCAAGGAGCAGCGGTCCCTGCGGCTCAGCATCAACGCCCGGGAGAGGAGGAGGATGCATGACCTGAACGACGCACTGGATGGCCTGCGCGCTGTCATCCCCTACGCCCACAGCCCCTCGGTGAGAAAACTCTCCAAAATAGCCACTCTCCTCCTGGCCAAGAACTATATCCTGATGCAGGCTCAGGCTCTGGAGGAGATGAGGCGGCTGGTTGCGTACCTGAACCAGGGACAGACCATAACGTCACCTGTCCCAACCGCCCTGGCACCCTTTGGACAGGGTGCTGCTGTCTACCCATTTTCGGGCTCTGCTCTTGCCACCCATGCCGAAAAGTGCACCACTTATTCCGGGACACCGTCGAGTCTCTTCAAACATTGCAACGACAAGCCTTAATCTACTTTAATTCTCTTTCCTGAACTTTTACCTTTACTGCACCCATGTCGGTTTTTCTCCCACTAGTTTTTTTTGTATTCTGTGGAAAGTTAAACAAGTTTAGTCTAATGCATAATCTTGAAATATGGTTAAGTAATTATATTGCAACGTTACATTCAGATTTAACAAACGCTACAAATGAACATTTTGGGCCTACTTAAAAGATGAAGTGACTTTCTCGCTCGTACTTTACAAACACTACAGGCCATGTCAAATTATGAGTTGATGTACATTATAGGAAGATTAAGTTATCAGCTTTTATTTGTAATCTATGCAACATTCAACAAAAACAACATGAAATGTGGAAATGCCAAGATATGCGACCTAATCTCGACCTTTATGTAATAGGTTACAGCAATTATGAAAGGACTGCCCTCGTACTGATGCTATGTGAAGGAACAATGTGATATTGGATGAAACGATGTGTTTGACACGTTTTTTTTATTTTTTATTGTTTTAAATTATTGCACATCTCACATGATTGTACAACTGTGAAAAATCAAATGCTCCAAGCCTGGCTATTCTAATGTGTATAGCTATAACTACAGCCTATTCATTGAATAAGCGTTTTTGGTTGTGTTGCAACATGGATTTCATATATTGTTTATATGTCTTTATAATTAAAACACATATCTATGCTTTGACCCGGTTTGCTTCATTTCAACAACAATTTATCAGCTTCTTTTTACATTGAGAATACATTAAATTACGTGTAAAGGCTACACTATAAGGACCACTATAAAAAATGACATACATTATATTATCTACATTGAGCTAATTAAAATCGTGATTTCAGAAAAAGTCATGTTGCTTGTAGAGTTATGGAGTGTATATAACGTAATGAGAGTCCTTGATACACTTTTAACGCATATAATGTAAAATGGCTGTGTTTGAAAAAAGGTAAACTATGACAATTAACCGTAAATTGCAGCCGAGGACCGATAAAAAAAAAAAATCTGAATATTAAACAGTCACCTCTCACGCCGCCAAATTGATTTCCAGTTCTCACCCTCTGAGTGTCCCTCCCAAAATGAATTGGCAACTTTCCTTTCGTGCATGAGATGCCTCTGACACGAGGCACTGGGTCTACCCGAGCTCAGACGGGCTGGTGGGGCCCGTTTGGCACGCAGTGGGTCGGTGGCGCTGAGGGGAAGGGCGCAAGAGTCGCCCCGGGCACCCAGGACCTGTCTCTGGGTATTTGGGTGATGCAGGCTTCCTTGGCGGGCTCTTACATGGTGGACAGCTATTAACACGATTTCAGCTCCTGTCTTCCTGCTCGAGTTAATGCAGTGAACGTTACAGGGCCACTTTTGTTTTGCAGGTTTTGATTTGTGAGTGGATGCATTTAGAAACGAGTTGGTCATAGTGTAGTGGTTTTTATTTCTGAAAACATGTCTCTGTGTGATTATGGTGTCCTAATTGTGAAATATCTTTTTTTTAGCAACCTTTACCTGGACACTTTCTTGGTCTATGTGTCCATGATGGTCTTGGAGGATGTTGGTGCTATTTTGTTGCTCTTTTTTTAGAAACTTTAAATTCAGGATTTTGAAATAAAAATACCTGGCTTGATAACGGAAAGCATTTCTTCTAATGTTTGTATAACCTGCAAATTAACACCGTGGAGTGGAAATTATTTTTTAAATAGAATTCACAGAGTACTGAATCAGATGATATACATACAATTCTCAAATCAGCAAACATGTTATCCCTTTCATGCCCGCTCCACAAAGTTTTGTCATTAAAATCATCTGTCTTTTATAATAGTTTTTAATGTACTGGACACAAATAACACATTGCTATCAATCTAATTTGGGCTCCTCTTCTATTAGCCTACATTTATGTAATTCTTTACACATGTTTTGAATACATAAGAGCCAACATGTAGATCAGGCCAGCCTATTTATGCTAGTCAGAGAGTGACTAAGTGATCCACCCAGTCTCTCTCTTACAATTTAGCTGTATGTCACAACAGCAGGCCACCCATGGCATCTTAAATTGGCCCTCTGATGACACATGTCTTGTTTGAGGCCCCACGAGACATTCAGGGCAGCGGGGATGAAATGTGACAAATGCTGCTGATGATGTGAGGGCCCTGCGCTCCATCAGTCTCCGCACATCCTAATTGCCATAAATGAGGTGGTTGCCTTTTTGCACGGACAGTTGGGTGGTCACTTTCCCTCCCTGTTGGCCTCTAATGTCAAGCTGCTGAAATATACGTTTTATTGTGTCACCTTATTATCTTAATGGCCATCAGAGTACATGGTGGCACTGTGTCATTTGGCATGTAGGCTGAATCTATACATTAAGACAGATTTGTGATTCTACTGGTCACATGTTGGTGTTTCCTGACCCTTTAGCCTACAAATCATCTTCATCTTTCCCCGTAATGAGATAATTATGTAGTTTAGGGATGTGTCAGCTCAGTTTCTTTGTATATTTTGCATTCCCGAGATGAACGCCTGCAGAGTATTGAAACAATATAATTAAATAGGTGTGTGTGTTTTTTTAATTTGATGGTAGAGAAAGGTACTTACAGTACTTACATTTTTCTTTTTCTTAATGAATACAGAATTTGTCGCATATTTTATCTGAATCAAAACAGCAGATACATTTAATTTAAGTGTTTTGATAAATGAAAACGCTCAGAAACATATTAATTTGTTATACCAAGCAATAATATTGCATTACAGACTGAAACAAACATACAAGAAGTTGCTTTAAGCGATACAATAATAATTGATCAAACACATATATTTTTGGATGCCACAAAGCGAACAGTTCAATGCCTCAATATGCCCTGGGCATGCCCCTGCAGAAAGTCTGCCATGTGCGTCAAGATATATACAAATAAAAACACCAAGCAAGCATGTCCAAATCACTTAAACGCTGCAGTAATTAAAAAAACGTCTTCAAAATTATGATAGAAATAAATGCGATACAATTCCCAGAGTAAGAAACATTTTTACAATTAAAATATCCTAATAACAAACCCTCAATAGCATCTAATTGAATTGTTGAACCAAGACACATTTTGACCTGCATCATCACTGTCCGCTTCTCACAAAAAATACAATTTCATCCATGTGGAGTATTGAAGACGGTCATAGTTATAGATGCATTTATAATGTCATGTTATTGTCACACTGTTGCTTGCATTTGTTCCATGAACGGTTTTAAAAAACACCAAATAATTATTGTATTTTAAACTGTCAACCCACTTTTGTAGGTGTGTCAGAGATGAGGACATTTGTTAGAATGATTAATGTACAGTATTTGTTGTAACAATGACCACTTCTCCTGCAAGGAAATGTTTTACACAACTACAACTGCTTTTCATTAAATTGCCATTCATTCTCTTTTATACGTCTGCACACAGGAGTCATAGTTGTTGACAAATATAATAATGAACACTTCAGTTACGTTATAGTGTGTGATTTAAAATGTAATGTTTATAAAGGCCTACTGGTTATAAATGCTAAAACGATTAAGACTAAATAGGATGAAATAAACAATTATATAGAAACAGTATAACAAAGAAAATCATGCTGCTTATTCTTACCGTTGGTCTGTTTTTGACTGTGTGTTTATGCAGACAAACACACAGCACTACAGTCAGTGCACCACCTCTCTCACGACAGCCCAGTGTGGTGCAGAGTGTGGACAGACTGTGTGATGTCTGTAAACATTTGTGTTTGCTCTCAGTGGGATAGAAAGGGAGTGATTTCATTAGCATTGCTCGGAGCTCTGAGGTATGTTTGTGTGCTTTTCTCCAACCCGATGGTATAGTACTAAAACCATATGCCCTTAAGTGTGTACCTCTGCCTAATGCATGTGACAGCGCTGTTTTCTCTAATTAAGTTCTCTCTATGTGCAAGCTCATGTGTCTGGTGCACATTGTTGCACTTCATCTCACACACACAGCCCTGCACAGACTGTACTAACAACAGAGGCCTTGAAGGAGAATGAGCATGCTTCAGCTCTGATTATGCTTACAACGGAGGATAGAGGAGGTTTATAAAACATTAGATTTGTATTTTTCTTTCTAAATTTGCTCACAGAAGCATAGTTGTGGCTTTGCAGGCCAAGTGACACAGACGATTTGGTGGATTCTGGCAGGTTCATGACTAAGGAGAGAGGTGAGGAGGTGGGATAAACATGAAGTTAAACAAGTGTGCATGTGGGATGGTAGAAGTAGAGTTTAGGATGTGAAAGAAGAGACGGTGCCTCAGTGTTTTTGTGCCGGCGGTGGCACTGCAAGGACCCCCCACCCACCCACCACCCAATGACCCCCAACTTCTCTGCTCCACGATGACATCACACTCTGTCGTCCCTCGCAGCCCCGCCTTGTCGGAAGCGATGAGCGGGTGAGTCAGTTGGTTCCGAGGAGCCATGTGATTCGGGGCGACGTTGCTGCAAGTGCAGCAGGATGGGCCGGGGCCCTTCATTTCGTTAATCAGACGTCTAAAGGGGGGTGGAGAGGAACACGTCTGTTTGTATGTGTCTATGTGTTAGTGCATTGTGTTTGTGTGAGCCTGTGTTTTCTGCTCATATTGACGCAAACCCTCGAAACATGGCAGTCAGGCAAAGCGTTTTGCCTATCGCCACAAGGCACCTGACACCACGCATGCTAAACCCAGACAGTGTGGCAGGGGCCAAATTGGGACTGGTGGGAGGGAGCGGGAACGGAGGAGAGTTGTTGAATACGATGTCCTGTTCAGGGCCTCGTTGGCTCACCATCTCACATAGGTGCTCTTTGCCACTCTGGAGATAGATCCCATGACGTCCCAGTTTTGTTTTCAAGAATTCCTTTTTTCTTTGTTAAAGCCTCTATTTTCCCTTTTCTCTTTTCTCCTGCTAACATGCCTCAATGTTTGTCCTCCGTCCACTATCCCTCCCCCTTTACCATCACTCTCATTCTTCTCCCTTTTAGCTTGTTGTCTTGACAGAGGATACGAGCTGACAATCGGGGGCATCCGTTACTGTATCACTGCCTAATCTCTGTAATGGCCCCCACAGATAGAGGACTGGTGGTGAGCAAACACTCACACACACTTACACGCAAACACACCTCAACTCGCTGGACAAATGTACATGCAAAGCCCTGGGGTCAACAATCATCTCTCTGTTCAGCCTTTTGTACACACCATAACCTCTTCACTCACATAGACAACTCTCTGTATTCTGTTCTCCCTCTCTGTCATACACACACACACACACACACACACACACACACACACACACACACACACACACACACACACACACACACACACACACACACACACACACACACAGCCCAGCAGCCCTCTCCCTGTTCAGTACCAGCTGAGGAGCACCATGGTTTTGTGGGGAGCAGGGGGAGCTCGTTATCCTCATTAATTAATGACAAAAGCGATGTAATTGGCCATCCATAATCCTCCATGCGGAGAAGGTGTGACAGGCAGAGCCGGGACCATCCTCTCTGCAGCAAGTGTGACTCATAAACACACACACACACAGAAAATGAAGACACATTTCGTCCTGTTTGTGTGTGTGATTGGTGTGTGAGTGAGACTAATGACGCACTTGAATAAAAAGACTGGCCAGTAACGTCAAGGTGA